AAAAATCAAAATAAATATTATTTTATAAAGTCACAAAACAAAGTAATTTTGTGTAGTGGAGGAACTAAGATAATTTATACTTATAATTTGAGAAATTAAAATAAATATTTACTCTTATTATTCCTATAAGTGTTTGAAAAATATTTATTAAAAAGTTAATCAATAATTTTTTTAAAAATTATATACAATTTAATTAAAAATAATAACACAAGTATTTTTTAATTTTTTGATTAATGATATTTAAATACTAATTAATATTTGTCTAATAATATTTTATTATATTTCTTTAAACACACATTAAAAGAATATTTTTATGTTATAAAAAGCAAATGTATTTATTGTTTTACTTTTTACAACGGAATTGAAAAGTGTATTCTAATACAATAGTCATACTTAGGGATGGCAATGGGTAAAGTACCTGATGGGTACCCGCAAAATCTACCCTCAACGGGTAGGGTATTTACCCGCTACACGGGTATGGGTATGGGTATGGGGAAATACCCGCAAATTTCCATGGGGATGGGGGCGGGTATGGGTACCTAAGTACCCACCCTGCCCCATACCCGCATATACTATTATTATTATTATTATTATTATTATTATTATTATTATGCTACTTATGTGAGGGAGGCCTTAACCCAAAAGCCCATAATGGGAAGGAATTAGGGTTAATACTTTATGTTATTCAAGGCTAGGTCTCTTTTATAATCATTGATAATTATATAATTATATGAGTTGCTCTACAATTTGCCTATCGAGAGTTTTGCTTTAGGAGTGTAACTTACAGAAAGATCTCACCATCACTTCTTATAGAATTCAGAGATCAAGTACAACAAATTTTGCAAGTCTTCAACAAGTAAGCTTAAAACTCTATTATAATTATTATTGATATTTCTAATTATTTTTTATTGTTCTAATTTCATATATTATAGTTTGAATAATTTTTTACTTATAATGGAGGAACTAATAATTTAAGAAAACAAGAATCTAACCTACTTTTATATTTTAGAAAGTTTTTGTGGATGCTTTTGTAAAATTTTGGTCAAGATAAAGATTTTATTATTTATTTTATATAATTTCATGTCTTATATTTTTTCTCAGTTCAGACTTCTTTTATAGGTCATATTTATTTTATTTTATAATACTATATTTTCAAAAAAATTTCTATGCAAAATAAAAGGTTGAGAAATTTAATATAAATATTTATGTTACTCAAATAAAAGAATGCATATTTAAATATATAAAAATCTATCTAATTAAATTTATTTTATAAGATTAACATAAAAATATATTTATCAATAAAGTAAACCATAAAAATAATTTTTTTTCATATTTTTAATAGAAAAATTTATTTACTATTTTATATCGTTTAACTAGACTAATACAATTTAATTATTATATAGTTGATATGCGATTAATTTTTTTTAAAAAATTATTTCTATATGAAACATACAAAATGTTTAGAAATTTAGTGATTAAAATTATGTGATATTATATTGACTTGGGTTAAATAAGATTTTTTATTTAAGTTCTTGCTTTTATATAGGTAATAACAAATGGAAAATGTACGTGAAATAACTCCTTCAAAGGAATCTGAAAGTAGCTCTTCTCCAATTATTTTCATTACTCCTACACAACCTGAAAATGTTCCTAAAAGTACACTTAATGATTCTGGACCGAGTGACAGTTCTGATATTAGAGATCAATCTCAATCCCAGTCTGATACACTTCCTATTTAGGTGGATGGAGATGATTGTGATGCAACTCATGATGAAAAAAAAAGAAAGATGTCGATTGTATGGAATCACTTTAAGAAAAAAATTATTAATGGGGAAGAAAAAGCTATATGCAATTATTGTAACAAGCAACTGACAGGTAGAAGATCAGATGGAACAAATCATTTGCATAAACACTTTCAAACTTGTAAGAGGAGGTCATATAAGGATATAAGACAATCAATCTTATTGAGAGAACAAAAGAAAGTAGACGGATCATCCACTTATTTGAGTAATTATCACTTTGATCCAGAACAATCTAGAAGAGATCTTGCTTCTATGATAATAATTCATGAGTATCCGCTTTCTATAGTAGACCATTTGGGGTTTAGAGCATATTCTGAAGGCCTCCAACCTTTATTCAAGGTTCTTAGTCGGAACACAATAAAAGGTGACATTATCAAAATATATCTGAATGAAAAGTTGAAGACTATGGGACTCTTAGAGAAGATTGGAAGTAAAATTGCTTTAACAACAGACATGTGGACAACTAGCAATCAAAAGAAAGAGTTTATGGCTATCACAGCTCATTACATTACTGATGATTGGGATATGCAAAGTCGCATATTGAGGTATAATTTTTGTGATCATTATATGATATATTCATTTAGTAATTATTTGCATTATTTCAATTTTTTATATATGTATATAATTTATTTTTACATTAATAGGTTTGTATATGTGGAATGTCCACATATAGCAGAAGCTCTGTCTAAAGTATTAGTTGAATGCATGCTAGATTGGAATATTGATAGAAAGTTATCTACCATCACTTTGGATAATTGTAGTACAAATGATTCTCTTGTTGGTTTGTTACTAAACAAACTTGATTGTTCTTCTCTTATGCTTGATGGTCAATTGTTTCATATGAGGTGTTGTGCACATATTCTCAATTTAATTGCTCAAGATGGTTTAAATATTCTTGGAGATGGTATAGAGAAGGTTAGAAGTAGTGTTGCTTTTTGAACAGCTACACCTAAAAGAGAACAAACCTTTAAGGAAGCAGCACGTCAAATCAAAGTTTCCATTACAAGGAAACTTGTACTTGATTGTAAAACAAGATGGAATTCTACTTATCACATGCTTGTTGTTGCATTGGCTTATAAAGATGTTTTTATTTGTTTGAAAACAAGAGAGCATATGTATATATGTATCCCTACAACAAATGACTGGGAAATTGCTAAAGAAATTTGTAGTAGGTTGGAAGTCTTTAATCGTGTGACTGAGATGTTTTCTGGGACACAATATCCTACAACAAATATTTTCTTCCCATTGGTTTGTGAAATAAAGTTATCTCTGCAATAATGGCAAATTTGTTCAATTGAGGCTATTAGAAATATGGCTACAAAAATGGTAACCAAATTTGAGAAATATTGGTCTGTTATACATGAAATCATGAGAATTGCCATTTTTTTGGATCCAAGATATAAATTAAAGTTGTTAGAGTACTTCTTTCCCAAGCTCTATGGAAGTTCATCTTCTTTTCAAATTAACAATGTGAAAAAATTATGCTACTTGTTGTTTGAAGATTATTAAGCTAAAGCCATGGGAATAGTAGAAAGTTCAACTGAAAAGTCTAATGAGACGGAAATGAATTTGGATATACTTAATGTTAACAATTTTTTAAGTGATTATGATTCATTTGTTAAAGATACAAATGATATGCAATCAAAGTCTGAGTTGGATATCTACTTGGAAGAGAAGGTATTGCCTAGAAGTGCTAGTTTTGATATCCTTGGGTGGTGGAAATCAAATGGGATCAAATATCCAATATTGAAAAAATTGCCAAGGATATTTTGGCCATCCCAATTTCAACCGTTGCTTCAGAGTCTGCTTTTAGCACATGAGGTAGATTGTTGAGTCCTTATCGTTCTCGACTCCATGAAGATACTTTAGAAGCACTCATGTGCGCACAAAGTTGGCTGAAACATGAAAATGAAGGTATTGAATACTCTATTAATATATTTATTTAATTAAATATTTTTGTTAATTTTAATTTGATAGCTTAATTATTGATTTTCTTATTATGTACTTGTATGTTTTAGTTTCTATTGGTATTACTGGACCAAAGCAATATGTAAACTTGAAAGATAAACATTTACAGTCATTTGGAGAGTCTGATTCTGATGAAGAGGTAAAATAGCCTAACTATACTATTTTGACTTTATAATAAATAATTAACTAATGCTATTTTTTTAGGTCTTGCAGAGTGACAATACAGGAATATAAAGTTTAGGAGTTGGTTGTTTTACAAGATCTTGAAGATTATGTGTGTAATTTTGTTTGATTTTTAAGTACTTTAGTTTAGAAAATTGATGTCTTAAGATACACTTAACACTTATGATCTTTGAATATTTATTTTGTATTTATACTTAAACTTTGTTCGATAAAATTATATAAGCATATTTTTTTTATAACTGCTTTTTTTTCTTAGACATGCGCGGGTAATAGGGGCGGGTATGGGTATGCGGGTACCCAGAGGGTACGGGTACGGGGACTAAAAGTACTACCCATGCGAGTATGGGGCTGGGTACGGGTATTTTTTTAAAATGCAGGTATGGGGATGGGTACTATAGTACCCTACCCATACCCTACCCATTGCCATCCCTACTAACTATACTATTTTGACTTTATAATAAATAATTAACTAATGCTATTTTTTTAGGTCTTGCAGAGTGACAATACAGGAATATAAAGTTTAAGAGTTGGTTGTTTTACAAGATCTTGAAGATTATGTGTGTAATTTTGTTTGATTTTTAAGTACTTTAGTTTAGAAAATTGATGTCTTAAGATACACTTAACACTTATGATCTTTGAATATTTATTTTGTATTTATACTTAAACTTTGTTCGGTAAAATTATATAAGCATATTTTTTTTATAACTGCTTTTTTTTCTTAGACATGCGCGGGTAATAGGGGCGGGTATGGGTATGCGGGTACCCAGAGGATACGGGTACGGGGACTAAAAGTACTACCCATGCAGGTATGGGGCTGGGTACGTGTATTTTTTTAAAATGCGGGTATGGGGATGGGTACTATAGTACCCTACCCATACCCTACCCATTGCCATCCCTAGTCATACTAACAAGTGTCTTAGAGATACTAATTAGAAAATTGATAAATAATTTTTTATTAAAAGTTATATAAAATTGTATTAAAAATCATAATAAAAACATATTAATTAATATATGTCTAATAATGATAATAATTAAAAAAAAAAGGGCGCAGAGAAGGGAGAGTAATGGCATTGGTGGTGGCCCGAAGAAGTGAAGAAGCGAGAAAGAGAAAGAAGAAAGGAAAAGCAAAGCATTGGATTGGATTGGATTGGTGGTTCACCGTTCCTCTCTCTCTCTCTCTCAACCCATTCCTGATCTCACACATCCCTTCACTTCCCATCTCAATTCTCACCCTCATCTTCAGGTATTCTTCTCAATTTCATCATTTCGTCTTTTCAATTATTATTTCCTCAAAATTCTTCTCAATTTTTTTTTAAAACATTTTGCATTTAATTCAATTCCACGAATCTAGCTATTCACATTTTTTTCACCAATATCTTAGATCTCGTACTTTCGCGAATGCCGCCACACGAACTCGTAGCATGATTGGGGTTTTTTCGATGGTGGTTTTGTTCACTGATAATTCTCCAATGTCGTTGGAGGACCATATATGAGTCCTGATCAACCCTTGCTTCTCCAATCGGATCATCCTTCAGTGGTTCATCATCGCCATCGCAAATCCGGATCCTGGACCCGCCACTGCACCAATGCTTCCTTCACATCCTCTATGTTCGACGATGCTCAAGCTCAGAGCGTCGATTTTGATGTGAAGGACAAAGAGTCAGAGGTTGTGGTTTCTAGGGATTCTAGTTTTCACTCTGCATTTGGGAATAATAATAATAATAGTATCACTGAGAAGGAGTTTCAGCGTGTCGAATCACGCTTTTCTGGACAGTTTCCTTTGGAATGCCCCGCGCACAAGAGGGGACTCTCGGTGTCGTGGGGCGGGATGGAACTGCACGATACTGGAAGCCAGAGTGTGCCCTTTGAGATATCTGGAGCTGGATCTTTAGTTCAGGATAGGTTGAGTAAGTCTCAGAGGATTAGGCACAAGAGTGTGCAGTTTGATGATGCTGCATTTCATGAGGATAGTGCTAGGTTGATTTATATTAATGATCCGAAGAGGACGAATGATAAGTATGAGTTTACTGGGAATGAGATTAGAACTAGCAAGTATACGTTTATAACATTCTTGCCCAAGAATTTGTTTATTCAGTTTCATAGGGTTGCTTATCTGTATTTCCTTGCCATTGCCGCGCTGAACCAGCTTCCTCCGTTGGCTGTTTTTGGGAGAACGGTGTCTCTTTTCCCGCTGTTGTTCGTGCTTTGCGTAACAGCTATTAAGGATGGTTATGAGGATTGGCGTAGGCACAGGTCAGATCGCAATGAGAACAACCGGGAGTCTCTGGTGCTTCAGTCTGGTGATTTCCGGTCGAAGAAGTGGAAAAATATACAAGCTGGTGAGGTTGTTAAGATCTTTGCTGATGAGACGATCCCGGCTGACATGGTCTTGTTGGGGACAAGTGATCAAAGTGGGCTTGCCTATATTCAGACAATGAATTTGGATGGAGAATCGAATTTGAAGACGAGATATGCTAGGCAAGAAACAGCTTTGGCAGTTTCATCAGAAGCTTGTGATGCTTTTGGGATAATTAGATGCGAGCAACCAAACCGGAATATTTATGAGTTCACAGCCAACATGGAGTTCAATGGGCTTAAGTTTTCCCTTAGCCAGTCAAACATTGTTCTGCGTGGCTGCCAACTGAAGAACACGGATTGGATAATTGGTGTTGTAGTTTATGCAGGACAGGAGACAAAAGCAATGCTGAACAGTGCAGCTTCTCCTTCCAAGAGAAGCAAACTGGAAAGTTATATGAACAGAGAAACCCTTTGGCTGTCAATTTTTCTCTTTATCATGTGTTTGGTTGTGGCCCTTGGGATGGGTCTCTGGCTGGTACGCCACAAGAACCAGCTTGACACCTTGCCTTACTACAGAAAAAGATACTTCAACAATGGGCCGGATAATGGAAAGAAATATAAGTATTATGGGATACCTATGGAAGCGTTTTTCTCCTTTTTGAGTTCTGTTATAGTGTTTCAGATAATGATACCAATATCTCTTTACATCACAATGGAGTTGGTTCGACTGGGTCAGTCATACTTCATGATTGAAGACAGGGATATGTATGATGCAAGCTCTGGATCAAGGTTTCAGTGTAGATCATTAAATATAAATGAAGATTTGGGTCAAATACGCTATATATTTTCAGACAAGACGGGAACACTCACAGAAAACAAGATGGAATTTCGGATGGCTAGTGTACATGGGAAGAATTATGGGAGCTCCTTGTCCATGGCTGATATTACAGGTATCCAGTCTCCTCTGGAGATCGTTATGTAATTTTGGATTGCTAAATGATGTGGTAGAACAATACAGTGCCATTATTTCTTATCTTGCTATTGCACTTTGAAATCTTTGTGACTAAAAGGCAAACAATTGTTTATGGATTAAGGTTAGAGAAAATTTTGGTTTCTTGTGTTAGTCTGAGAAATGCATTAGTTATGCTTTTTGATTGCCTTTGTTTATGTTAATGATTATTTAGCTGGACAGTTTGATGAGAATTGGTGCCAATGTAATATGTGCTTCTGGTTGTAATTTTCTTCAGTTACTTATATATTTGATTGTGGGATATACCTAGCTATACTGCTGCATGAATATTTAAAGCTCTGTTATTATTGTATGAGGGGAAGAGCTTCTGATGAACTAGCTGACATTTTTGTTTTCCGTGTTCAGTCTCTTCTTGTTGGTTTGCTTATTTGATGAAATTGCTTTGTTTTTCAATTATTTTTCTATTATGAACTTACAATTCAGTTATATATCTTGATCCAAGTCTGAAGGTGTCAGCTGTGTAAGTTGTCGTCAGAAACCATCTGTGAGCTTATGATGAATTGATCAATTTGCTGGTGCTTATGTGTAAGACTTATTTGTGGGTGATTTTTTGCAGCAGTGGCAGCTGTTATTCCTAAACGGAGATGGAAGCTCCAATCTGAAATAGCAGTGGATTCTGAACTGATGACAATGTTGCGGAAAGACTCAAATAGAGAAGAAAGGATTGCTGCTCATGAGTTTTTTCTTACATTGGCTGCTTGTAATACTGTAATCCCTATACCTGGTGGTGGAAAATTTTCTGGTTGTGGAACTAGTGAATTTAGTGAAGATGTTGAATGCATTGATTACCAGGGAGAATCTCCTGATGAACAAGCTCTAGTTTCTGCCGCCTCTGCATATGGATATACTCTTTTTGAGCGAACATCTGGACATATTGTTATTGACGTCAATGGTGAGAAACTCAGGTAGATAGTGACTTCCTTTTGGTGGGGGACTACTTGTTTTATTTTGCGTTAACAATATTGAACTTATATAGTTAATGAAACACTATTATGTACATTGGATATTGTAGTTCAGTCTTGCTCTTCGTGTGTAACCTAAATCTGTATTATTTAGTAACTCCATTATCTTTGTGGTATATAGATTGGACGTATTGGGCCTGCATGAGTTTGATAGTGTGCGAAAGAGAATGTCTGTTGTTATTCGGTTTCCTGACAATGTGGTGAAGGTGTTGGTCAAAGGCGCTGATACTTCAATGTTTAGCATTTTAGCAAATGGAAGTGAGAGCAGCAATAGCTTATGGCATGCAACTCAGGGCCATTTGAGTGAATATTCTTCACAAGGTTTGCGCACTCTTGTAGTTGCCTCAAGGGATCTTTCTGATGCTGAACTTGAGGAGTGGCAAAGCAGGTATGAAGAGGCAAGCACTTCATTGACTGACAGAGCTACTAAACTACGTCAAACAGCAGCTCTTATAGAATGCAATTTAAAACTACTTGGAGCAACTGGAATTGAGGACAAGCTACAAGAGGGTGTACCAGAAGCCATTGAATCCCTGCGGCAAGCTGGAATCAAGGTTTGGGTTCTTACTGGTGATAAACAAGAGACGGCAATTTCAATTGCTCTTTCCTGCAAACTTCTCAGTGCAGATATGCAGCAGATTATTATCAATGGCACTTCAGAGGTCGAATGCAGAAATCTTTTGGGTGATGCTATAGCCAAATATGGTGTGAAATCTTCAGGTGGAAGGCGTCAGAATCTGAAGCAAAAAACCAATGCTAGAGGTGGTGATCTTGATATTCCCAATGGTTCAAAGTCATTGAGCTTTCCCAAATGGAATCCTGGAAAAGAAGAAGGAACTAATGCTCCATTGGCACTCATAATTGATGGAAACAGTTTGGTTTATATTTTGGAGAAGGAACTGGAGTCAGAGGTAAAAGATCATCCTTCCTCATTTGTTGTTGTTTGGAAAGTTTGTGTATATTGGATCCAATGCTTGCCTTTGCTGTTGGTGTTGTTATAGGTGCATATACCACTGCTTAGACTTGACTTGTTAAATAAAACTTAAGGGTAAATATTTACTGATTTTGTTTTTCCTTTCAACAGCTTTTTGACCTTGCAACTTCCTGTCGGGTTGTGCTGTGTTGTCGGGTTGCACCATTGCAAAAGGCAGGAATTGTTGATCTAATAAAGAGCCGCACAGATGATATGACACTGGCCATAGGTGATGGTGAGTTCTTTATATGAAATTGCACTTAATTTGCATTTGAATTTTCTTGTGGGCCCTGGTTGATCGTTGATAATAATTTGCCTATAGGTCGAGGTCACTGGGCTTTAGCCCATCTTGTCAGATGCATTTTGAAATAAAATTTGATTTGATATGAACTTAATATTTTTAATTTTGAATACTTTTGACAGGGGCCAATGATGTTTCAATGATCCAAATGGCAGATGTTGGTGTTGGAATATGTGGGCAGGAAGGGCGCCAAGCAGTGATGGCATCAGATTTTGCAATGGGGCAATTTCAGTTCTTGAAAAGATTACTTCTGGTTCATGGGCACTGGAATTATCAGCGTGTTGGTTATTTGGTTCTATACAACTTCTACCGCAATGCTGTCTTTGTATTGATGTTATTCTGGTATGTATGGTTGTCTTTGGATATTTGAGTTACTCATGTTTATATGACTTTTCCTTTTACCTGATGTCTTAAGACATTTGGACTAAAGCTTGGACTAGAAACATGTGATTTTCATTATTTTTTTTTTGCCTATGATATTAATAGACCATGTGCTGATAATTTACAAAAGGCTTTTTCCATATTTAGATGTTAACTTTTTTCCTGTATGACTGTCTTGTTATGTTCTGGTGCCAAAATGTCTGCCAATAATATATTTCTTCTCTCTGTGCTATCCTTGTTGATATGTGTAATATGTAGGTTTATCATAAATTCTGGGCCTAAAGATGGATGTTACTGCATTTTAATAATAATTACAAGTATTTTGTGATTTTAAACATTCTGATATAGTGTCTTCCTTGACTCCAGGTATATATTATGCACAGCTTTTTCTACAACTTCTGCGTTGACAGATTGGAGTAGTGTTTTCTATTCTGTGATATACACATCTATACCTACCATTTTTGTTGGTATTCTGGACAAAGACTTGAGTCATAGGACACTTTTGCAGTATCCAAAACTGTATGGTACTGGTCACAGGCAAGAAGCTTACAATATGCAGTTGTTTTGGATCACAATGATGGACACAGTGTGGCAAAGCCTGGTTCTCTTCTACACACCATTGTTCACCTATAAGGACAGTTCCATTGATATATGGAGCATTGGAAGTTTGTGGACAATCGCAGTTGTTATCCTTGTAAATGTACACTTGGCTATGGACATCAACCGATGGGTATTAATTACTCATGTCGCCATCTGGGGATCAATAATCATTACATATGGTTGCATGGTGGTATTGGATTCTATACCTGTATTTCCCAATTACTGGTTAGTTACATGTGTTCTCCGGTGTGTATTTTGTACTATAGATGAAGATGTACTGTTTGGCATAATAGCTAACTAGTCTGTTGATATCATTGCAGGACTATTTATCATCTTGCAAGGTCCCCTACATATTGGATAACAATTTTGCTTATAATTATTGTGGCATTGCTCCCACGCTTTACTTGCAAAGTTGTTTGTCAAATCTTTTGGCCTTCAGATATCCAGATAGCTAGAGAAGCTGAGTTAATGAGGAGACGACAGCGTAATTTGCAGCCCAGGCAACGAGTTTCCGGTTAACTTAGGTTATTGTCCTGTGTCTTATAGAGACTTAAGGAATCTCAATTGAAATGGCTTCCCTTGCATTTGTCTATCACAATGCATTCTTGTGGCAGTCAGTTGTTAAGTAACCAGGTAAGGGCATGATTTCTCCCTTCCGTTATTTTCTGCACATTAGTTTCCTCGGGTTTGGTGGTTATCTATTGTAAATTGTCCAAAACCTGTTAATAAGTTAGTTCTTCTTCTGAGGGTATACAGTTTCCCTTTCTTCATTAACGTGGCAATTTTGAACCAGTGATGGATCCAGAAAATGCCTAAGGAGGAGTAGAAGCCTAAACATGCATAATTGCATTGAAATAAAAGTGACGTAGAAGTCAAAAATTCAAAATAATGGACTTGAAGGCTATAAAGACGACTAATTGAGGATGGGTGCCCACTACTCCGGATCTGTATCCATGAACCTAAATCTGCTAATAGAGATACTTGTTGATAGTTGATTTATTGAGAAAAATATGTTAATTTTTGTAGACATAATATACAATTAGAGCATAAGGTTGGTTGGTTGAATGATGGAGTATCACTTGTGCACTTCATGTGCTCACACTTGCTACATCTGCATGATTAAAAAGATGACTCTTTTCATGTGCTCAAAGTTGTTTGTGCTTGGTTCTGATATTTTCTGGTCTAAATTATCCAGATGAGTTGGTGAAGCAGATTGCAGTGATGTAAGACAAATGCTTGACACCCTACATAGTAACCGATATGTTGTGGGGAAGCACATGGCAAGTTATGATGGCATTGCCAAGGGTAGCAAAATCGCCTGGCTTCTCAAATGCACGGGGTCAGGAGAAGAGGCTCAGTCAGACTCGGGTAGCTGTAAGTATGTCCAGCAATTGATGTATCAGGGGGACCAGTGTCGACATGGTAATGATCCACGATCTGTAGAGGAGTGTAAGAGAGAGTAAAGTGTAACTATGTGTACTATAGTTCTGTAAAAATTAGCCTCCAAAACGTCCTTTATGAGGTAATTATATCCAAGAAAGGACAAAATGAAAGGAAAGGTAAAGGTAATTTTCACAATTCCTTCATCCTTCATCTCTTCCTTCTTGCAATCCCCCGTCTCACACATAGAGGTTTAATTAAATGCGTAATTTTAGTTTCAGTTTTTTACTTGAATTTAGTCTCTAAAATTATTTTTAGTTGTCACAATTAAGTTACGTTGTTTTTTTTTTTGTCTAAAGATACTTTATTTAGCTATTAAGAAAATATTTTATCTATTACCCTTAAATAACAATAACAAAGCTTTATTTTATCAGGTGAGTAAATTTTTTTTAATAATAAGTCAGATTAGAGATATGTTGATAACATTATATGTTATAGTTTTCATTAAAAAATTTACTTTTGATTTTTTAATTATTGCATTAAGGGAATTAATTCGAAAGATTGATTTAAAAAAATGTTAAAGTACACTAATTAAAAAAATAGATTTTTTTTTTTATTATTAAGTGTGACGATCATTCTTTATATGGTTTTTAATGCATTTCTTATACTTGATTATTTTTTATTTATTAATAAGAAGTCACTAAGACCCTTAAAAAATTAGGGGCGAAAGCAAGTTTCTTTACAGGTGCATATTTTCGTGTAAAGACCTTGAGAAGTCTAGGCCTTTGGACGTTCTTGGGAACTGGAACACGCGGTGGCTATATTTTAAGCAATGTTTGAACGAGGACGAAGATTGTCCTAGTTAAAAAAAAGCATATGATATACTAAAATAAGTCAAATAACCAAGTAATTCTAGTGCGAGTAAAATGTTTGTAAATACGATTAATTAAAAGTGTGAAGTTATTTTATGTTATTTGAATGATTTTTATATTAGTTGTGTTTATTTATACTCTAGGCTTTTGTAACGAGCTGATGACTCTATGAGAATTGTTGTCATTACTTATTTAAATTATACTTGTTATTTGAACAATTGAAAGTTTATACTATGTGAAATGTTGACATATTGTGTATAGTTATTTTTATTATTTATTATTTTATAAGAACACGGAGATACATAAAAGTTGTCTCTCTGTTGAGATGTTTAAAAAATATTTCTCTTTAAAATCTCATAAAAGAGAATGAAATGTAATAAAACTTATTTTATCTAACATATCTTTTACTTTTATTCGTAATTTGAGAATTGAGATGAAATTAGTTAATTGCCTAATTTCATGTTTATCTTATTCACCTATCAAATATTAAAATAGAATTTTTTTAATTTAATTTTTTTGAGTTCAATTTAAATGTATAGTTAGTGTTAAAAATTTTATAATGTCAAGTAATTGGAATGCAAAAGTCAGATTTTTGCTTACATGTCAAGTTACGATCAGATGATAGTATAAACAATTGTTTTACTGTTAATGTATTTTATTTTAATTTAATTTGAGTCTAATTCTATTATATCTCTCTTGCTCCCCTTCCCACCTTAAAAAATAATGGTTGACGCAAACAAAAAATGAAGTAACACTAAAACGCTCACCACTCAATTTGTTTATTCAGTTACAATCCGACACTGCATTTCTAACAATGCCGCAAAAAACTTGAACGAAAAATTGAACTAGAGGCAATACTGCAGCATCAGATTAGTTTCTAGTTTTGACTTAATTCCATTATTTTAATATATAAATTTTCTTCCCAATTGAGGAAATTAGGAAATTTGAAGGATGAGGTAGTTAATTGATATGAATTATTTAAAAAGATCAGAATGTCATTAATTCCCTAATAGTGCATTAATTTTTAAATATGGTAAAATCATTTAAAAAGTATCCGATTGAACACTCTTTAATTAATTTCACCATATTGTACCCTAGAATATAGTTGAGCCAAAATACTTCAGCCCAAGTTGCTTTCATTTTCTTGAATGCGTCTTCTTGACTTTTGATATCATTCTAGACATGTAAGTTTTAAGAAAAGAATAATAATATTGTAAGTAAACTGAATGTAGTCTGGCTTGACCTGTCAACAATTTAACGACACGATTGAATCATACAAGAAGTCTTCTCAGCAATTAATTAGTTCACACTTATTTTTTTCTCAATTCATTTCTTGAGTTCCCACCAACAGTTACCCACCTTTAATTTGTTTGTTCTGAATTCCTTGTTCTCCAAGGTTGATTGTGTGAAATTATTACATTACCCCAATAAAGTTTACTCTATTAATCATTTACAGAGACCTTGTTTAGAACAAGTGAAAGTCTATTCACCAATTCTTTATGCCCACTGAACACGTGATTACATCGGAATTCACTAATCGTTAGATCTGATGATCATGTGGTTGGCTATATATAAATACGGACTGAATCTAAACTGGGAATGGAATAGAAAATACTCTTAAGCTCACGAAACTGTTATACTATGGTTTTAAATTAAATAACTTATTGAATTCCTACGTCATACCATTATTTTGTTAAAATTTTTATAAAAATGTCTCATCGTATACATTCTATGATATAATAATACGTTATACTCCTTCAAAATTATTTTTAACTTGTAATATGATTTCTATCATTTATGATAAATATTTAATTAATATTCCTTTACAATCTTAAATAAATAAAAATAATATCATGCTTAATTTAAATAAATTATTATTATTAAAAAGATTTTATCTTATCATTACATTAATATTTTTACACTTGATTTAATGTATTTGATTATTTATAATTGTCACGTGCAGTGCACTATTCGGATCCTTATCCAATCTTACACTGTGCATCGGATGAGTTGTTAACTACCCCTCTTCTGTCCGTACCTCAATGAACTCATCTAAATCTAACATAAAATTCGCTGAAAGGGTAAATCCGTCTTTGACAGACCCTGTTCAGTGGAGATTATTACTCTTTTCACAACCAATCCATGAGAGCCACGTGTCTTCCTGACGTCTATAGCTACGCAGGTACGATGACGTCATCCCTCAACGTACTAACCATCTCCGACTCGCCATCCTTCCACATCGAAACCCCAAACCAGTTCTTTACACGTGGCATAATCACAACCGTCGCGTTTCACACGCTCCAAGTTCGCGCGTGAGAATACAATTTCGTGTTGGAAGGGGTTGGAATTTTCGTGCCAAGGTTCCTTTGAACTTCGGAGCATGTGCATATGGCAACAACTTGGTTCCTCGTTTGTTTTTTTCTTCATGATATAAGGTCTCTCCCACCATATAATATATATAGTTCAGCTCAGTGTCTGTGTGAGTGAGAGAGTGACAAGAAAACCTCGTAGCCAAACCAACAAGGGAGGTTCAATCTTGTGAGGGAATAAAAATTTTCCAAATTGGAACATGGATAATCTTGGGTATAGTCGTAGTAAGGCAATTGAGGAACTTGTGAGAGGGCGTGATAGTGCCAAACAACTTATAAGTGTCATCAATGGAGGTTTTGATGATCGGTCAACAACCCCATTTGCTGAACAACTTGTGAAGGAGGTTCTCATGTCCTTTACCAACTCCCTCTTGTTTCTCAACAATCCCACTTCTGAACCCCATGATGTCTCTGATGTGCATGTTTGGGACTCTTCCAAGTCTGAAGACTCTCAAGAGAGTAATTGCAAGAGTTCCACAGTTAAGGAAAGAAGAGGGTGTTACAAGAGAAGGTAATTCATTAATCCATGGTTTTAATTGTATTTCTTGTTGGTTAATGGTTTTGTAAACAAAAAATAAATCCCTCCCTTGTCAATTTAACATACACGATGTTCAATAGTAAATACCCTCAACTTATCAAGTTGTCTCTTTGATTTGATAACGTAATACTTTGTTATTATTTGTCCTTAACATATGTGTACAATTGGACCCCATCAATTATTGTTCCATACATGTGATGAAGGACTATGTTGTAATTAGGCTTGTCTTTAATTTATTTTGTTTGTTTGTTTCTCTTATGGTTTTGTCTGTCTGGCACTGTAAGGATGATTGCATACCCTTCAGTGATTGGTTTGGAGTTTTGGGAACAAATTAGAAAGTTTAATTATCTGAATCTTGAATTCATGTTTGCAGAAGAACTGCACAAGCATGGGAGAAGGAGTCTGAAACTCCAATTGATGATGGGCATCATTGGAGAAAGTATGGTCAAAAGGAGATCCTGAATACCAAATACCCAAGGTATAGATATGAATATGAATATTCCTTTACTTGCTCTTCTACAATATCTCTTCTAGGCCTAAATAGACATGTCTTTTGTGCCCAATTTTCAGGAACTACTATAGGTGCACTCACAAATTTGATCAATGTTGCCAAGCAACAAAACAGGTGCAAAGAGTTCAAGAGGAACCACCCCTTTACAAGACCACATACTATGGCCACCACACTTGCAAAAACTTTCTAAACCCTGAGATCATACTTGACCCTATTTCCCCTTCTGGTTCTTCCAAGTTCCTTAGCTTTGACAGCACCTTTCCAACTCCATCCCAACAAGAGTGCCCCTTTCTCTCATCAGTGAAAAGAGAGTGCAAAGAGGAGGTTCCTCCCTCATCTTCCTCCAATGATTACCTCTTCTCTTCTGAGCTCACTTTTGATAATTCACCAAGGCATGTCACTCTTTCATCAACCCTTGACTCAGAATACAAGGGTGTGGATCTTTCAGATGTCTTGTATGATTCTGCTAGCCTTGATGATGTCTTCGAGCCCTTTCTTGAATTTAGATGAATGCCTATGTTTTGGTCTGTAATTTTTCTTTTCTATCAAGTTTACTCCACTGAAAGTAGTGCAAATTGTGCAATATATAGTACTTTTCTTAGATAAATTATGTGGCTAGCTTGGGTTCCACGGATGTAAAATCTCTACTGTTGTCCATTTTCAATGAATGAGAAATGATAATATTTAGAATTATTTCTCATTAATTTTACTTTAGTTTGTAAATGGAAAAGTATGCTTTAGTCATATTGATTAAAGCAACATGCACGAAAGTGCATAGTACCTCTACCCAACGGGTGGATGGATCACTTGGAAAGTTTAAGGGTAGGTTCAAGCCAGACCTGTTGAGTTGCCTATTCATTATATGTTTTGTTGTTTTTGAAGACTGAGCTATCCAACTAAAAAGAAAAATATTATTCTCCCTCCAATTTTTTTAAAATATTTTTTCATCTCATTTATAATTGAATAACTCATTAAAGAAAGACCAAAAAAGGTGATGGAGATGGCATGTTTGTGAATGTTTGATATCCAATTTGCATTGGGCAAAATTTACAGGCTGTAAACCCCTATGCTTAATGATTACTTAATTAAGCACGCTTATAAGGATTGGGTTTGTATAGAAAATGAAAAGAATATACATATGCACCCCTAAACTGTCATTACTAAATCTTATCCTCGTCTATGCATATTCAGGAGATACTTGATGGTAAAAGTACAAATTATCCTCATTGAAAGGATACATTTTAGATATGGCTGAAAGGAAATTTGCACATGGCCTTTCACTTGAACCGAAAAAAGAAATCGAATGAGAAGTTCCATTCTTATGATAAGGCTCTTACTACACAAGACACTTTGCCCCTATAGACATGCATAAGAAAGGAAGAAAAAGCTAAAGACACTTAACAAGTAGAGATTTCAAACTCCCTTTTTTTTTAAAGTTCATATTGAATAAAAATTATATTTGACAAAAGGCACATATTTCTAATAAATTAATAAAATTTGATATAATTGGTAAATGATTGTGTTTCTATTTTCTTTTAATCTTGATAGAAGTTTAATTAATGATCGTGTGATAGAAAAAAATTAACGACAGAAACAAAATCTATTTCGATAATTTTTGAATTTCTAAAGAATTAATCTTTGATTGTTGGCTGAAAAATACCTTTTTATATTTCGATATTTGCTGATAACTTTTATTTCATACTCCAATAATTTTTATACTCACCCTTTTTAAAAAAATTTATCTTTTGTTATTACATTATGTGGTATATCTTTTGTTTTCTCTTATTTCCACTTTATCCCTCTTCCCTTCACATGAATATATAAACCAAGAGGAGTGTGAAATGATATTTATCCAAATGACATAAAAAAGCACATCAAAAGGTGATGCACTATCCAAGTATCATTCTTTGTTTGCGTTACCAAGAAGGAGTGAACGTTTTGGTTGTGACAGCATGATGGACACATGCATCTCTTGTACAATAATATTTGACACTCGCACATGTCTAACCTTTTTCTTCATTGTGATTATATTTTACAGTAAAGTTTTTATACTTTCTTATTTAACATTATAAAATAAAATGTTAAAATATGAGAGATAAAGAGGAAAAAAGTTTTTTTTTTTTACTCAAATAGGTTAATTTTAAAAACATATTTTTAAAAGAAATTCATCTAAAAAATAAAATATCGAAATAGATAATTTGAAAAATAAAAAATAAAGAATAAAATATGTAATACATATGTCATATTTTAGTATGTGAGTCACAGGTCTTGCAAAGTGAACTACTGTTGGATGATTTTATTTTACTTTGGTAAGCTAACTAAATTTTTGATATAGATGGTGAATAAAAAGTTATTGTATTTATGTGAATTGACAAATATTTATGTAATTTTTATTATTTTAATTAAAATAACAAATTCTTAAGTATTTACAAATTTATAAGTGATTTTTAATTAATTTTTAGTTGTTTGAATTCATGAAAAGTAATGTAAAACATAAATGAAAAGAGAATTAAACTAATATAATTAGATTAGGGATTTGATTTCATCAATCATTCTCATCGTACTTTGGCAATTACATACATTGAACATGTTCTATAGTTATAGATGCATTTTCTTTATATTTCCTTATTTTGATTTCTTGCACCCAAGTTTCTAAGAATAATTCTTTGAATAACAACAAAAACTCCAACATTACAATCAATAGTGATTTAGCATACAATACATTGAAATCTATTCCTAGGGTTCTAACACATTGCATGAGTTTCATTTAAATAGAGTTCTAAGATAGTTTTCCAACTCACCCTAAATTCTCAAATCATGAATAATTTCTTGCGAGGTAGAATCAAGCATTACTAACAAAATAAAATCACCAATAACATATAGAAATGAATAAATATATTAAAAATACCAAAGTATTCAAAGTATGAAGATTACATCCAATTCCACCAAGGGTTTAACCACTCATAACATACATTACAATAAGGAAAAAAAAAGGAAAAGGGATTTTGAAAATGGTTATCCAATGATCTTTACTGCCTCTCCTAACCTCCTTTATTATTCTGCACTTCCTCAATTAGGTCATGATGCGAGACTCCTTCTTCTTGAGTTGGATTTTCTTTCTAAATGAGTAATTTAATGAATTCTCACTCAAGCGAAAAATTCTAACTCGAGCTAAAATGAGATTCTTGCTCAAGTTAAAAGAATTTGTTTGAGCTAAAATTAGACAAATTCTAATTTTTGTTTTTTTGCATTTTTGCTTAAGTGAAAAATCTTTCACTTCAGCAAAAATTTGACTGATTTACTTCTTTTCTTTCTTCCTTACTTTTCTTCTTCTCTCAATTCCTGTAAAATAAAGAATTCAATAAGAAGAGATCAAGAAATTTCTTCATCTTTATATCTAAATTAAAATAATTAATTAATTTAAATTCTTTCAAATTAAAAAAGAAATTAAGGTTTAAATTAGTTCATTAAAGAAAATATATAGCCGAATTCATGTTACAAATTACAAAAACTTATCACTTATCAACTACACATAAGAGTGTGACATGTATTACACATTGTAACTACTTTTGTTTCTCTTAATTATTTGCAGTTTAAACATAATTCTAAAATCTGATCTATAAACTAATTATAATAATTTTTAAAATTACGAAGCTTTTAAATTGTGGCGGTTTTAAACAATTAGAAATTAGGTTTAAATCACTTGGGTCACATTTTTTGGTGTAATGTGACACATTAATGTAAACTACATACGAAAGTGTGTTATGTGTTGCATTTTAATGAGTTATGCATTTTACTTTTAACTTTTTAAATACTTTTAATTTGTAAATTATCCATTTTTATTATACTTTTTTTAAATACTTTTTAAATATTTTTAATTTGAAATAGTTTTACTTTTTAAATACTTTTTAAATACTTTTAATTTGAAAAAACATAAAAATTTAAAATAATTATACTTTTTTTTATTATCATTTAGTAGATAGTACTGCTAATATTAGTGAGTATTAAGAAACTATCAAGTAAATATTAAAAAATAAAAAAGTAACTTTAGCCTAACTTACCATAAATTGACTTAATATAACCTATAAATTAAACAAATTAAGTCATAATAACGTAAGATTTTTGTGAACTTAATTTTTCGCAGCTCAGTTCACTAGTAACTTAGTTCAATTTATGATCACAAATCATCTTGACAACTTAATACTTATATTTAACATTTGTTTTTTTTTTCTATTATTTTAATTATTAATTATCACTATCGAGTGCATGTATTAATTAACATAAGAGTATTCCAGGGAAGTCTCAAATTTAAATATTTAAAAATACTGTTGTATTAAACCCAAAAAAAATTAAGAGTCGTCATCACTATAATGTACGTTATGAAAATTTAAAATCTGTAAGTCTGTTGAAAATAAAAAAAAAAAAATGAATATGTTTGGTATATGACTCCAAGATGTTTATAATTATTGTGAGCACTTGATTGTGGCAATGGCGACAATTCTACTAACTCAAGTAGCATAGAGAGGAAAAAAAGGAATATGCAAAAGGCACTAGCTTGAGAGCTGCTTCTAGAGAAAGAATAAATATATTAATTGTTTTAATTTGAAAAGCAAATTAAAATAATTTGTTCTAAAGTTTTTAATTACACAATATAATTATGACTATTAATACTATCTTATGCCTGTTATTTCCAATTTAATTTTCTTGAAAGCAAAACTATTCGCTGTACTGTAAAAAAAAATGGTTTTGGTCGAAGTTCTATTTCAATTTATTGAAATAGTAATCCAATCTGGTCATACACATGTTAAGAATATCAACAAAGTTTAACGAAATTGACAATGATTGTGTTCTTTAAATATACTAATTAAGATTATATATATATATATATATATGAAAAAGACTTTGTAAAGTGAAAGATTAGTGATATGCTTTGAAAGCGAATAATTTAAAAATATATAAACTTTTACACATTAAGAAAATATTGGCATTTGGAATTAGAATTCCAATCCGAATCCATTCACACGTCTAGAAAGATCCACCTTCCCCCATTCACCAATGATCACTATTTTCCAGACAATAAGTTTATAATAATTTTGTTGATATAGTTTGATCTTGCTTAGCTTTATCACACAGACAATGCCTCGCCTATTATAAGAAAGATAAAATTCAAGTATAATTTTTTAAATATTTTAAATAATTTTAAAGATTTGTTTTAATAAAATATTTAACATTTTATAAATTATTAAAATAAAATTTAATTAAAAAATAATGCTAAAACTACTTAAGAAATTATTCTTAAATTTTGTCTCTTAAAAAAATTGCATTCTAACTTCAGCATTATGTGTAAACCCATATCATATGTTCACTTACAACATAGAGACTGTATATAATTGTTATGATATTATTACAAAAGTCACTACTAAAAAGTCTGTTTATACAGACGAATTTATAGACAGATTTTTAGAGTATTACAGACAATTTTTTCTATTACAGACAGATTTACAGACGGATATAAACCGTCTGTAATATCCTCGTCGGTAAATAATTACAGACGGATTTTCAAATCCGTCTGTAAGTTACAGACGGAAGAATCCGTCTGTAAGTTACAGACGGAAGAATCCGTCTATAAGTTACAGACGGTAGAATCTGTCTGTAAGTTATAGACGGTAAAATCCGTCTGTAAATCACAGACGGGAAAATCCGTCTGTAATTCACAGACGGAAAAATCTGTCTATAAATTACAGACAGAAAAATTCGTCTGTAATCTGTCGGTGATATATTTTACTATAATTGATATTTTTTTATTTGTATAGATAGTTATTTCCTGCTGTTCTTGATTATCACAATTTATAAACAAAATAGAAACTATAGATTCGGCATCTAAACATTCCAAAATGATTTATAAAATATAAAATTTAAATGTTGTTACAAAGGAAGAAAAAAAAGCATCTAAATAAATACATTTAAAAATAAAATACAAGTCTTCATCAGGAATAATCTATATGGTCAGAATCCGAAGGAGCATCATCATCAGTAGAAGAGGAGTCAGTAGAGGAATGATGCATGGAGGTGAAAACCGGTGGTGCTGGAGCTGGTGGAGAAGGAGAAAGAGGTGTGGAGCTGCTTGCTCTCATGAGCTCAAAATAAGCATGCATCTGCTGCATTTGCATATGCTGCTGCGTCATCTGCTGCTGGACCTCCCTTTGCATTCTCGACGCCACCTTCTTCTCTATCTTCTTCTCCATTTTCTTTGCCCACTTCTTCTTCCATGCACTTTCTTTGCTCTT